TTTGTATCTTTAAATTTAAAATTTTTCTCTTTTTCTTGAAAAAAAAAAAAAACAAAAATTTAAGATATAATAATGAGACAGCAAATAAAAATGTGTTAATTAAGTAATCTTGGGTCGTTTATGTACCTTCCGCCCTTAGTTATCTCCTTATTCTTTTTTCTTTTTTTTTATTTGGTTTTTTTTTCCAAAGACAAAAAAAAAAATTGTTATTTACTAAATAAACAAAAATTAAAGCTTTACAACATTAAGGAAAATAACAATAAAATGGAAAGAAAATTAAAGAAAATTAGAGAAGGAAAATTCAAAACAAAAATTTTAATTTTTTATTTTTTGGTTTTTCCTACATAAATCCAAAAGTCTAATTTGTTGTACGTTTTCAGTTTTAATTAAATATAAATATTTATGTAAACAGTTTAACATTAAATTTAAAAAAAAAAAAAATAATAATGAAAATTTCAAAGGAAATTTTGTAATTGTTTCCTGATTTTTTGATTATAGGTGAAATATTTTAAAAATGACATAAAATAAAGGAATGATTCCCAATTTAATAATTTTAATTATTTATCTACATATATAATTTTATGTTAATATTCAAATGAATTTAAAATTCCACTAAAGAAAAAAATTATTTCTATTTAAAATCTGTTATTAAATTTAAAATCGCTTTAATAATTGAAAATATTATTTAAAAAGCGATATATTTTTATCAATTTCTTTTATAATATTAATTATTTTAATAAAAAGAAGTGCATATTTTGTAAACATGATAATTTTAAATCTACACTCAAAGTTATCACAATGATTATTATTTAATAATAAATTGTAATCTATTTCATTTTCTATGTTATATTTTAACATAAAATTTCGGAAAATACAGCATTTAATTTTGTAATTAGCGAAATTGCTAAGCAAAATATTTCTAATAAAATGTAAACTTATATCTAAATTTTTAAAAACAAAAAAAAAACACAATAATTTAGCTACTTTTAATGATAACCTTAATTATAAATAATCTGTGATGTAAGAAATTCAGTTTAACATATGAATTCAGCTGGAATTGAACATTAATTGTAATGCATTCTTTAATACGTGATTAACAATTCATCCTTCAATACATTAATTTTTCTGCAATATTGGAATGCTCCTCTTAAAGTTATTTTTGGCTGCAATTTCTTTGAATAAAATCTTCAAATCTCCTGCCTTAATATGTATATTTCTTTTATGTTCTTGAATTTTTTACTTCTTGAATCTTCAAAATTTTCATTTTTCTGTTCATATATTTTTCATATACCGTCATCTTTTATTTTTAAACTAAAAATAATAAATCTTTAAAAAAAATATTACATTTGATTATTAACAATTTTATTTATTATCCTTAACGCTATAAAATTTATATTTATATATCTAAATAGCAGCATATATATAGAAGAATAAATTTTCAACTCCAACAATTTTGATATTTTCATATATATATATATATATATATATATGTAATAAATAAAATGAAAAAAAAAATTAACAAAAAATCAGTTTTTTCCCATCAACGGATCAATCTGTCGTAACATTTTATGAATTGACCCGATAAAGGAATAGAGTTGAAAAAAAAAAACCTTTAATAAATTTAAAAGGAAAAATTAAGTTAGAGAAAAAAATTTTATTTTTTTTAAATAATATTATTTTTTATTTTTGAAATTTTTTTCTCAATTTATAAATTTTTTCATCAAATTACATTGTTTGTAGCTTTCAATAAAAATTCATCCGTTAAAAGGGAGAAAAAAAGCAATATAAACGTGTGTACCTTACCAATATCTAAAAATTTTGTAAAAAATCTATTTAGCAAGAATACTCGTATACTAATATAATTTTCAAATATCTAAAAATCAATCGGAATACAAAATTTCATTTTCTTTCGTCTACTAGATTACTAAATTTTCGTTTCATACTTTTAAAATTCAACAACAAACATTTTGGACTTTTGCATATTTAAATAGAGTTTGGTTGTTTTAAAACGAGACTGAAAAAAATAAAGATGATATGATGAGTATAAGGTTTTTACTTTATTCAAAAACAAAAAAAATATAAAATTTATCTTTGTACATTTTTTTTTTGTTTTTCTTTTATGAATTACTCTATTTCTATGCAAAATAACTCAATTTTGACCTTATCTAAACTAAAAATTTAAAAGAAATAAAAAATAAAATTCTTTGATAAAAAAAAAATAAATTGAAAGGTTCAAGTAATAAGTAGTATAAAAGAAGTATTTGTACAAAAAATAAACGAAAAGAAATAAAAATACAAAAAGAAAATGAACAAATTGACAAAAATCAACCTTAAAAGAAAAAAGAAAAATTATATTGTAACAATTATTTAGTAGTAAAAGATATACTCTATAAAACTGCAAATCAACATAAAAGCCCGATACCAATATAAGATGATCTAAGAATTTTATTCTTTTCATTTATCCAAAAATTTTTAAACTCAAATTCATCTAAAAATTTTTATTTATATAGTATTTGTTTATATTTATGCATGTATATGTTAGGTATGGATAAATTTAAAATTCCTTCGTTGTAGTTGGACATAATATCCTAGATTCCAGCAAAATATAATTTTCAAAATTCAACTGATATCAATTCAATTCATATGATCGAAATTTTTATTCAAAATCAGCTAGCCTATGAAAATTCAGATTTCTGTAGATCCTGATTCTGCAATAAGAAGAATACGTTATGTAAAATTCGTTAAAAATTATTAAATTTTATAAATCTATTATAATGATTACTTGCGACAAGCTCTTAATAATTTTCATATTGTAAAAAATTAAAAGAAAATTGATTTTGTTTCAGTATATAAGAACTTTTATAAAATAAACTTTATTTTCCCACAATTTCTAAGCAAATGTTTTTATAAGAGCTAAAAATTTTTAGTATAAAAGAAAATTTTGCTTAGAATACCATTCATTTTTCAATTTTGATTTCTTTTCTAAGCTTTAATATTGTAAGTCTCTTTTCTATTATTTATATACATACATAAATATAACACAGCTTTATTTTCTACAAAATATTTTAATATAAGGTTACTTTACTTTAAATTATAAAACACAATCCCTTTTTTTTTCTTCTAAAATATCCTTTTAAAATTATCCTTATTTCAAAACTGAAACTCTTACTACAATATATTATACATTTTATGTACATATTTTTTTTTTACTCTAATTTTACTTTTTATATAAGAATTTTTTTGTTTACCCTTTGTGTCCGTTCAGTATTACACAGGAACCTTAACTTTAAACAAATTGTTATAGTTAGTTTACTTTTATATATATAAAATATACTTTGTAGATCACGATATAATAACCATAGCAATATAATAGAAAATAAAATAAGTTAGAAAAACAGAAATGAGTAGAAAAATATCTTTACTTCACATTCTTCGTTGTTTTTGTTCCAGAGAATTTTCATTTAAAGATTTTTCCTTTTTTCTTTTTTATTCTGTTGTTGCCTTTTGTCTTTTGTTTCAAGACAAAATACCCTTTTTGATTTACACATTTTAAATAATAGTCAAGTTATTGACAAAAAAAAAGTTGCCTTTTAGGTTTATCCCCAAATTAATTTGTCCGTGCCGATTTTATTTTCCCCTTAAACCTAAAATTGGATATGCATATATAATATACCTAAAATAAAAAAGATAAAACATAGTTTTAAAGTTATTTTAAAAAAATATCAACAAGTATTTTTGTGAAGTTTTGATACAAAACCGAAATATATATACGCTTTTTATTACTTTATCGATTTTTACTCTAAGTAACAATTTATACATATACTCATTATAATAATACAAAATAAAAAATAAAATAACAAAGAGATATTAGAAAGAAAATAAAATTTTTACAATAAAATATTTATTCTATGTCAGTAAATAATTTTCGCTCGCCTTGTTAGATTCTTGTAACCTAATTTGAGCTTATTCTTGATATATTATTACTATTTATATCGCTTATTTTTAGCCTTTGTACAATGTATTGTATATTCTCCTTGTTTACTGTTTAAATTTTCTCAAAATTTATCTCAAAGAAATCCATTATAACGCTGTATACATTACTAGGTAGTATCTTGTATCTTGAGTTAGAGCTAGATATTAATACGCGAATAATCCAATTAAATTTGAGTGCAACTTCTAAGTGCAATAAAATCTAATATGTTTAATGTACTTAATTTGAAACATATTACATAAATTTTTCTAACTTAAAATCCTTCTATTGTAGTTTAACAAAAAGTAATAAAAACAGCAAATCTGTAAAAACTAAGTTGCAAACAATCTTTTGATTTTTATGATAATTTCCAAGGCGTTGGAAATATTAGCTGCGCTTGTCGCCCTAATTCAAATTTATGTTTTGTAAAAAAAAAAAAAAACAAATTATGATTGATTATGTTTTTGGCAATTATGTTATGCAAATTTTATATTTTGATGAAAACTTGTGAAAATATAAAAACCACAAAAGGAGAAAAATAATCCCACAATGTAAATTAAACACGCAACACGAAAACGAGTTAACATAATACCAACAAAACAAATATTTGTTAAAGGCATTCTCTACGGTTCATCCTTAACTTTATTTCTTTTGTAAGATTTATAAGTACAATACACAATATACAATATGTACATACATATATATATATATAGAAATACTTACTTTTACACGAATAACGTCTATAAAATATACACAAAATTGTTACTAAAAATCAATAAAGCATTTTTTTTTCATACATGTACATTTATAACAAATGTGTGTTAAGGACGATAAATTTGAAATGGTAAAAATATTGTTGATTGCTGTATTTATTATATCAAGTGAATAAAATATTCAAGGTGAACACTACGATATTCTTATATTCCATTATGTTTAATTAAAATAACACTTTGCAATTAATATAATCAATGCGAATAATTTTGCCACTTGAACTTGAAGCACATTTCATAAAATAATTAAAAATTAAAAATAAAATTTCTCAATACGCCAAATTTTATTCGTAGCAAAAAAGAACTGTATACATTTGTAATATTTAATATACATAGTAATATAAAAATGTAATTTATAACAAAAGACCAAATATAAAGAATTCATAACATTATTTTTTTTTTCACTTTAGAACTCTACAACACTTCTAATGCTTTTACCTTCATGCATATAGTCAAATGCTTTGTTAATATCATTTAAGTTCATGGTATGTGTAATAAATTCATCAACCATTAATTTTTTATTCATGTATGAGTCGACTAAATTTGGTACTGATTCAACACTTTTATATCCACCAAATGCAGTTCCTTTCCATGTTCTTCCCGTAATTAATTGGAACGGTTTTGTTGAAATTTCTTGACCAGAAGCAGCAACACCAATAATAACGGCGGTACCCCATCCTTTATGACATGCTTCTAAAGCTGATCTCATTGTATTTACATTTCCTATACACTCAAAAGTAAAATCAAATCCACCATTTGTCATGTCAACAAGAACATTTTGTATTGGTGTATCACCATGGTCCTTTGGATTTACAAAATCAGTAACACCAAATTTTTTACCTACTTCAAATTTGGCAGGATTAATATCAATACCATAAATTTTTGATGCACCTGCTGCTTTGCAACCCATGGCAACTGCAAGACCAACAGCACCAAGACCCCAAATAGCGCAAACGCTGCCTGGTTCAACCTACATAACATGTTTTATATTAAAGCAAACTTAATATTTTTAACAAAATTTTTTCGTTTTTCAATTTAAATTTGCTTGATAACATAACAGAAAATTACTGTTTGCTTTTCAGTTAACAAAAGCAAATAAATTAAATTTTAGCATTTATTTTTTTAAATTTGGATAGTCATGCATTAGTGATAAGATAATTATAAAGTGCTATAATTGAAAACTTATGTATGTTTATTTTTTTTTAAGCATAAATATTAAAAAATATGTATATACATAAGTATATGTATAGCAAAATGTCTTGACTTACTTTAGCGGTATTTAGTGCAGCTCCGTATCCAGTTGGAATTCCACAACCCAATAGGCAAACTTTGTTTAATGGTGCTTTTTCATTTATCTAAAATAATTATTTTCAGTCAGACAAAATTAAACCTGGAATTATTTTCTTAACATACTTTACACAAATTAATATCAGTAACAACTGTGTACTCAGAGAAAGTTGAAGTTCCCATAAAATGATAGATTGCTTTACCATTACAACTAAAGCGTGTTGTACCATCAGGCATTACACCTTTTCCTTGGGTAGCTCTTACTTTTTGGCAAAGATTGGTTTTCGGATGTTTACAGTATTCGCAATCACCACATTGTGGAATGTACAGAGGAATTACTTTATCCCCAGGTTTAAACTTCGTTACACCTTCTCCAACACTTTCTACAATACCAGCACCTTCATGCCCTAATATTACTGGGAATACACCTTCAGCGTCAAGTCCACCTAGAGCATATGCATCTGTATGACAAACGCCAGTTGCAATAATTTTTACACGAACTTCATGAGCTTTTGGCGGATGAACTTCTACGTTTTCAATAGTTAGCGGCTTTTTAGGTTCCCAAGCAACTGCAGCACGACATTTTATAACCTTATTAAAAAATTCAAAAGTAAAATTTAAAATTGTACATAGTTTAATATAAATAGGTACATATATGCACATATAATTATGAATGTAAATTATTATAGGTAGATAGGCGCAAGGCAAAACAATTTTTGCGATTTTAGGAAGTTAACGTTTATGCATACTAAATGCATTCTATGTGTCTTATGTGCATTTTAAGCAGCGTTAAAAAATAGACATATTTTGTAAAGTTCGAAATTTACAAATAAACTAATAAGACCAAATATTTTAAAAAACAAATACTTGTGTATCACTGAGTAAATTTTATCACAATTTGTTAGGTTTGATCAATTTTATTTTTACAAAATACACCAAAATGCAATTAAAAATTTGCAAGTCTAATTGGCAAAATTAGTGTATTTTTGTAAACACCTGTTACATGTATATGTCGGTGCAAAGTTTTCAGTCATTGGTTATTAAATCGAACTTTAGCATTTTTAATGGATTTTTTTTGTCAATACCCAGGTAGACATCTACATATATTCAAAAGGTTTCCTTTACTTTGAAATGGGGTATGGGAAGTTGAAACCGTAGGAAAAACGTTATTTTTACCGTAATAAGCTAGATATGTAGGTAAAATATGTTTCGTTTCCCTCACTTTATTATTCAATGTAAATGTATATGTACATGCATATGTACATTAATGAACTATGTACACGTATGTATGTCACATAGTTTTTTATAAATGTAACATTTGTATTTGTAATTTGCTTTTTACTTAGAATATTGGAACATTATTTTGGTGGAAATTTTATTTCAATTATTTTCGGTAAATTCAACAATAAATCAATGTAAACATTAAAATTGTAGTTCCAAGTAAGATTACAGGTATGTTCATTGACTTGAAATTCTGCTTAATTTTTTCCAAAATATACAGACAATTTTAACCCCTATTCACTTTGATACTAAATCTTTTTAAAAATGATATTTTATATTTAAAAAAAAATTGTAAGATTCCGGTCATATGTTGGTACATATGAACGGAACATACTTATCTAGCAGTGAAATGGAGAAAAATAAATCTTACCTTTCCAACTGTTTCAGCCATGTTTAACTACAATTATTTTTTTTCTGCTTGCGAATTTATTTAGACCACAAACCACTTCAAAGTTCTGAAGGTGAACTAAAGCAAATTGAGAAATAAAAACAAATTTCTTAAATTTGTTTAATGAAAATTGAATACAAAAATATAACTCAAGCACAATTTATACTAATTTATATATGTTCATATGTATGTATATACCGGCTTTTGTTAAATGATTAAATCATAAATGTCACTAGATCGTAAAGTTATCACATATTATCGTAATCTTTCAAAAACTTTGTTTTTGTACAGCTACAGTGCTTCCAAATTCGAATATACTTATCAAATTCTTTTGATAACCTCGGCCAGCGCCTTTTCTTATTTTTTATTCTTATATATAAGGTAGGTGTTACCGTACTGTTCTATTTCAGAAACAATTTACAATTCCGCATGGCGGAGAACTCATTTAGTAAAAAATAATTTCAATTAAATCAAAATAATTGCCACTTTTATAATAAACGAAAAATTTAGTGGAAAATTGAATGCGAAATTGCTTGTCAATTACTTTTGTCTCACAATCAAACGTCATAAATGTCAACTTTATTTTGCAATGTGTAACCATTATTTAAGTGGAATGAAAATATACATTCATTTTGCAATCTCTTTTTCTCTTCAATTGTATGTATAATAAAAAAAGGAATGAGAGCTTAAAAACATGATCGGAATTAACAGTTAAATGAAAAATTGAACGTGTACAATTAGAACAATATTCTTTCAGTTTTCCTTTTTTAAAAATTTTAAATTGTAATACCAAGCAAACAATTACTTTATTCAAGTACTTGACGGAAGTTTAATTTGCGTATAGCAGTACAGACTTGAGTTGAATTTGGCATTAGTTGACAAACATTTTGCATTAATTTGTCATTTTTAATCTTTCAATTCGCGTATAAGCGATCGATCGTCAAGCCAATTTAATAATTTTATCGGATCGACAAATCAAGTAGCGTTTATAAAAGCTCGAAAACTGCTTGAAGTCGGCTTCGCATATAAACGCAGCAAATAAAACAAGGTAGAAAAAAAAATATTTGATAATCACACTGTTAACTGCATTATTTTCACAATGAACTTACACTTTAATGAAAAATTTCCGGGAAAGTAACCAAAAACAAAAGTAGAGAAAAATATTCATTTCATCAAAAAACAAAAGATTTGAATTTAATATGTCAAATTAAATTTAAAATCATAAACATACGTTTTTAATGAAAATAGCGGCAATTACAAAGTCTGTCAAATATCTTAAATAAGCTACAGTAATACTCTTGTTAACGCGAAGGAAGCGTTTCGAAATTCCATAACGTCAACCTTGATCTAATAATGTTCAATTGATTTCAAAGCCTTTAAGAAAACGAGATTAAATGCACCATAATTGACAAAATGTCAATCACGCAAAATTTTTTAATAGGAGTTACATATATCCGAAAATTTTAATGTCTAATAAATTGTAATTTTGTGAATGTGTAACCGTAAAAATAATTTTCTAATTTGAATACTCTTACTCATTTTGATATTTAGTTTGAAAAATATTTATTTTATGGGTTAATATAAAAGACCTATTATATTATCGATATATATCAAAATAATTCGTAACTGCATATATCACATAAAAGAAAATTCTTACATATTATAAATGCAAACCAATCTATCCATTTAATTCGAATCTCAGAAAAAAAAATTAAAATTTTTTTCTTTGTACTTAATTATGCTCTTATGTATTTACATAGCACGAAATATAAAGACGTAATTTACATAAACTTCTAATAGGTAATACAAATTCGATACGTAAATGTCATTTAATAAAAACTTCATAACATGATTTTGAAAGATAAATTTTTGTGTGGTAAGATTTACTTGCAATAAAGTTTAAACAAATTTTATTCTATGTAAATAACATATATCTATGTATCTATATAATATGTAATTTGAGCCCACGCCTTACATTTTAAAGTGGGGTACATTGCAAATAAATGTTCACGATCCCTGTTTAAGACACATACAGCAAAGATTAAAGAACAGCAAATATGTGTGTATGTTTGCATGTAAATAAATTTTAGTTTATTATTTATTTGCTTAGCATCATATTCTATGATATTGTGAGATCATTATTTACATTGCAAAAAAAAAATTTTTTATTAAAATTTTACATATTTTGATTTTGGTAAAAATTTTTAATTAGTAATATTCTTTTATCAAATAAATATTTTTGTGATTTTAATAATTAAAAATTATAGTGAAATAAAAAACAGGTAAATACTTTAAGTAAATATTCACAAAATTTAATTTTATTTGAAAAAAAATTAGAAGACATTCTTAAAATTCCCAAGTGTTTTAAAAAATACTGGCCTTTCTGCAATCAAATTTACGGTTATTCCTACGTTAATTTGTTTATGGAACCCTGCCGCTATGGCTACATTGTCCGTTTCAAATACGTAACTACTTTTAAGATTTACTTTTTCCAGATACGTGCAAACATGTAGAGAAAGGCATACATACTTAAATACTAACCTTATTATAAAATATTTGGGTAAGTTTATAGTTATGATTTGTGGTTTTCATTAGATGAAATGAATGTATTAACATATACAAAAAATCAAAAAACAACAAAAATGGCAAGAAAACCTTGAATCACCTGTCAGTATACAAACAAACATACATATTTTACTATTACCTATCATTCAATTTTTTCATAAGGTTGCCAACTTGGTTTCACAAAAATGTATCGAATGTATCTTGATTAAATATGTCCTAACCCCAGCAATAATATTAATGTGTTTAAGAAATTACAAAATTTCTATAATTTTTATAACTCCTATTTTTTTAAATTTTAATTTTTTGGAAAAGAATCTATTTCAAAGAACATTTAATATGTATATATGTACACGCAAATATGTATGTATTCAAATAACTACATAATATTGCAGTAACTAATTTAGAAAATAACATAACATAATGCTAATGTAATTACATGTATACCTACATTAGAGAAACGAGTACGGTTCAATGAAATTTATTCGACAGTTGGCATCTCAAATCAAAACTTTAGCATCCCACTACCGACAACACTACTTATACTTATTCAGAAAACTAGTATTATTACCAGAAAATGAAGTTTTTTAAGTGTATGTATGTATGTTAAACAGTGGATCAATTAGTCTGAAAATTCAAATTCATATGCGTGCTTATCGCAATCAAAGAACTGCGTCCAATAATGATGGTTCGTGTTGTAACTACAAAACTACAAAAGTCAAATAGCATTGCAAATACCTAAACGTCGCAAAAAAATTTTCTGGTATGCACCAATTCAAAAATGTTTTAAGAATTATTTACTATACATGAATATAATTAAAATTTATTAGTTTTAATTTACATTTCGTTTAAAAAATTAAAATTTTTGGTCTTTTAAACAATTTAAAAAAATATAATTTTCATTTCACTTTTCGACACATGAATAAAAATTATCCTTGAATTAAAATTATTTCTGCGCATAATCTGTTTTTTTTGTATATGTTGTAAACAACATTATACGCTATCTACGATTGAAAAAATACTTTGTTGCTAGTCTCAAAGCAACATTTGCCATATATAATATAAATACTTAATTTAAACTTTTTGAAATTGGTTAAGTAATAAAAGTAAATAAAATTTTTAGCTCTTAAAAGAAAACTGAAAATCTAATTAGATATCTGTTGACAGTTGTGAGTTATTATTTTTAGAATTTATTTTTAGAGTAAAAGTATTATTTGAAACAAGTGCTTGCACATTTTTTTCATCCATTAGTAAGATGAAAGTCGTATGACGTGAACACTTTTCGAGATCAGACTTTGTCTGATTGCAAATAATAGAAATAACTCTATTCTAATAATATTTATGTACGTCAGATTTATTTAAAAAAAAGAAATAATTTTTTGTTGAAATTTGAAACAATAATTTGACTTTTATACGAAAACATGGTATTCTGAACATGTCTTTCTATAACTGAAGGACTTTTTCTTAAATCAAAAGAAATTTTGGAGAAATATCTTTTTTTAACGAAATTATGAATAAAAATGTTCAAAAAAAAAAAAAACGAATAAAAAAAGCTAAATATAGTGTGCAACTAATTTTCTGAGATATAGCTTAAAAAAAGCGTCTATTGAAATTGAAGATTCCGTTTGTTGAAACTAACGTAGCCTAAAATAAATTGTTCATATTGTTACTGTAGTTCTTTTCAAGATTTTACGAAGAGCTGTGATATGTTACTTCCTTTTTTGTATAGTATAATAATTAGAAAATTAAGTTGTGATAACAATAACTCAAAATATTTAGTTTATTAAATATTTTTAACATATCATGAATTCAAGAATTGCTATTGCATCAAAAATAATGTTGAATAATAATAAATCTTGTATACAAAATAAAGTTGCTCAACTTAAAAAATTTGTAATATCTTAAATTGCACCATATTAGCAACAATTAAATATTGACAATCGTTGCTAACGTCATTCGGCTTCTATTCAAAGAGGTTGTCATTTTACATGGTAGTTTTGTTTAAATGCAGTCATTTGTGAAAATTTTCCTACAAGTTTTTGATTGTAATTTTAATTTATTCTAAATAAATTTATCATAATCATAGTCCAGAGGTAAGTTACTTTTATATACGTGAATTTATATTTATTAATATGTTGATTATCTTAGGGAAATTGATATTGGAAAAATAGAAAAATTACAGGGTCGTGCGACGGCTTTTGGCGCGGTAACTTTTCATATATACACATTTTACACAAAAATCAATTGTTTTGGACTAAATTTATTATCAAATTTTTAAAAATAATTAAAAACTGCTCAATAAAAATCAATTTGAGTAAATTTTTGATGAAATAATCTTCCATACAAAAGAAAAACAAAATGGAGAAAAGAATAGAGCTTGAAAAACGAGGACGCCCAGCCTCTCAGATAACAGATTTAAATTTGGATAATTGCAGAAGCACAAATATTGTTGGGTTAACTGACGAATTTGAAGCACTTGAATCATTAAGCTTAATTAATGTTGGTTTGACAACATTGCGTGGCTTTCCAAATTTACCAAACTTAAGAAAACTGGAACTTTCTGATAACAGAATATCAAATGGCTTGGAAAATTTGGTCACAAGTCCAAAACTGACATATTTAAATTTGTCAGGGAATAAAATTAAAGATTTAGAAGCGCTAAAACCTTTAGAAAACTTCAAAAGCCTGAAGGTTTTGGATTTGTTTAATAACCCAGCCACGGCTATTGAAAATTACAGAGAAAAAACATTTGCTATGTTACGTTCTTTAAAATATTTGGATGGTTTTGATTTTAATGAAATTGAGGCTTCTTCTGATGGTTATGATGATTTTTCTGATACAGAAGAAGAAGTTGATACTGATGAGGAAAGTGATGAAGAAATTGATAATGATGAGGAAAGTCATGAAGAAAGTGATAATGATGACGTATCATTAGCTCAAGTATATAATGATAACTTAGAAGATGATAATTCTGATTGGAAAGTTGAAAGCGAAGAGAATGAAGAAGATTCAGACGAAGATGATTTATCAGATGAAAATGGTCCTGGAGATAAATCAACTGAAGGTGAAAAGAACACGTCTGCAAAAGAAAAAAAGAAGTCTGCTGAAAATAATGAAAAAGATGGTCCATCAGAAGAGTCACGAGGCAAAAAAAGAAAGCATGATGAATAATTAAAAGTTATATATATATATATTAAAATTAATGCATTATATTACACAAAAATGTAAAAAAAAAATGAAATCAGTTACACTAAAATATATGCAGAAGAAAAAATATAAAAATAACGTTCTAATATTTTATAAAGAAAAACGATTGGAAAGAAGATGTAAATGAGGATTAATAACGAATCATCAAAGAAAGTGTTATAATTAATTTTTAAAGAGAAAATAAAGTTAAGAGCCTTTTTTGATATTTGATGTTTTAGTTTATTTGTTTCCAAACTAAAAAAAAAAATATAATAAACCTTCCAAATTCAAACAATATTAGGTTATTGCATTAGGTAATGTATGTACCTATATGCATACATAATTATATAATTTTATAAATATCGTTATATTGTTCTTCCTCTTATAAAAATATCCTTTAGTATTAAATCATTCGAAAACGTTTCTACGTACATACAAAATATACGAAATCTTTACCGTAATCGATCCAACAAAATTCAAAGAAATTTTTAAAAGCATTTTTGCGAAAAGAGCTATTTTCTTTTAAATTTTTAAAATAATTTTTTTTTTTTTAACTTTCTATAAATAATATTTATAATTTAAATTATTATTTAAATTGAGATTTGAATAGAGCTTACAAGATAGTATGATATTTTTACGGTTATTTCTCGTATTATTTAAAAAAGAAAATTCCTGTGAAAATTTTCAGTCATGCGCTTTTTATTTCATATAGAGAAAAACGTTTTAATTTTTTGTTTTGATTCTTATTTTAAATAGAAATAAGTATGTACATACAGTTGATACTATTAAAAACGTAGAAAATCCTCGTACGTAGATTGTAGAAAAATATTGCAAAAAAAATTTTTTTTTTTTGTAATTTTTCTTAACTACAGCTACAGAAAATATTGATTCATATTTTTAATTATACTGTAGCAATTTATTTAGTAAATGCAGAGTATTTTTTTCATGTACATAAGTATGTTGATAAATGTACAGTGTAGGTATCTCCATATTTGCGTATGTGTACATATGTATGAATATTATATTATATTCACTCTTGTTAATTACAACAACTCAAAGCATAAGAAATATTTATTAAATTATAAATGAAAAGGAAAAGTAAAAACAGGACAACAATAATGTTGTCCGCATCAAAAATTTAAAAAATTTTACATTTTCTTTCATTTCCTAAAACTTAAATAATTTGCCATTATTTAGTTTTGAATAAAATTTTAAATCGATAAATAAGACCATACACTATGGTATAGATATGTATAACATTATAATAATTATAATCTTAATTTGCATAGTTGCATTTTTTCAATAATGTTATAATTTTTTTTACACTATAATGTAAGCAAATATATGTGTATGTGCATGTATACATAAATATTAGAGTCACTCCAATATTATCGTATCAGCATAAAATTACATATAATACGTATGACACAATACAATTTTTTTTCCAAATATTTAAAATACGTAAGCTGCCCTTTAGAATTTTATAATCTCTCCTCTTGTAGGTCTCCTTACAATAGGGTACATTATTCATGTTATTGACGTGCGCATATTATTTTGCTAAAAGTTATTATTGGCAAAAAAAAATTTGAAAAAAAAAATGGTTTCCTATAATTAGTAGAGTTCTAAAATAATCTGGATGATTGGGTGACCTTTAATGGTTGTCGACTAGAATTATGTAGTAGTTATCAAAACTCTGTAGGTACCAAAATAGAATACATCTGTTAATCTAGTAAGTGTATTGTAAATGCAAATGTACATACCTCTATGGTTTTTTGGAATTCAAATTGTTGAAATATCGCGTTGATTTATATCATGACTAATAGGTTTAGAAGTATTTTTGCAATTTCTAAACTGCAGTACAAAAATATAACTGCAATATACTGCAGTTCCAAAATTCAATACAAAAAAATTCTACAATTAGTCTTTTCAAAAATGTACAATCTGTTTAGTGAGGAAAGGAGTCAGAGATAAGCACGAAAAAGTTCGTTGCTTTTTTATACACGTCAAAAATGTGTTCAAATTGCCAATTCTTATTTATCTGTCACTTGAAGTCTTATTTGTTCTTTACATGATATTTTCTGGCAAAAACTTGTAAAAAAGGAAAATTAGTTTTTTTCATTCTAAACTTTAAAAATTGCCAAATCGATATCAATTGCACCTTTTTCGTAGGTCACAAGAAGTGTAAAATTAACATTACGTTGATGTGGAAATCTTTAAAATACATACTGTATGAATTTTTGATTTTTAAGAAATGTCAAGTAAAACTTTTTCCAGAAAATGTGTTCTGCCAAAAGCATTATTTTCAGAGCATGATTGTCACATAAAATCACACTCACCCAGCATTTACACATACAAGTTACTTGCATGCAAGTTTGTATAATATTAATTGTCAATTAGTTTTTCGAAATGTCAAATTACTTGCTATTATGACGTAGGCGTTTAGCAAGTTAATTTTTGAAAATGTCTTTGAGAAGAAAACAACTAGCAATATATATAATTGTTTATAAATTTTAGAAACCATAAGTTTGCTAAGTTTAATTTTTTCAAAACAAAATTCAAAAATTTTAAATTAAAAAAAAAAAAAAATCAAAACAACAAATTTTTTTTTGTGAATTTCTCAATATGTCAAATTACTTGCTCAAATTACTGGCAGCAAAATTTTCTTGCAAGTTGAACTGCAAGTAAACAAGCAAGTAGAAATATTTCAATGTGTTAGTAAAATTTTTGTATGTATTGCAACTTTCTTGCAAGTAACTTGTACGTGTAAATGCTGGGTCAAAAGTAAAAGAAAAAAAATAACAATGTTTTTATTAGAATTTTTCTGGACCGCAAAAATTGTAATATCACTTTCATATGATCTGAATGCATTTAAATGATAAGTGTTCGCGAAGTAAAGTTATTAAGTAAAGCCAAAATGTGACATTTGTAACAACAATATTCAATATGTTATTTGTATTCCTTTTGTCAAGAAAATATGATTTGCACTGCTTCTTAAATACAGAAAAACTGTTTTGTATTTTGCTGCAAAGTATTTTTTTATATAACAGTTATAATTTTCTTAATAGTTACTGTTGATTATACAGTTTATTTTTATAAAACACGTATAGATTATGAAGTGACACTGTTATTCAACCAATTTTTGCGAAACTGTTTGCTTTTTTGTGGCGCTTTCATAGAAACATCTTTTTCTATGATATTTTGTTTAAAACAATTTTATTTTTTCAATAACTACAATATAGTAAGCTCTTGTTTTTCAAAAATGATTGAATATAATATTTAAGAAAATATATGGACAAATTTTAAAATATTGTCAGAAATAGTTTTTTTTTGCATTACTCAATTTCTGTCACATACATACATACATATTATGATTTTGTTCCCAATTGCAGTTTAAATTACAATTAAAATTGTTGCAAAAAGAAAAGTTGTCACTCTATCGCAAATCCAATTGAAAGCAATGAAAGATATGAAAGAGAGAAAGAGAACAAATTCGTAATCATACGCAATCGATTGCAGTTTGCTAAAGGAACCGATTAAGAAAATGCTACCTAAATTGTCATTAGTAATTACGGTAAGATTTTAAAATTCGCGGGAAATCGTAAAATTTGGTAATGAAAAATTGCGTTCTGTGAAGATTCAAGAAATACTTTTAGTTTTATTAACTTTAATATTGATTTTAGTTATTAGATTAGTAGGTTTTTGCAATATTTCTATACATTTCTCAAGTTATAAAAATTGATAGTTACATAATGTAACTATAAGCAATTTATATATGATTTTTCTTAAAGTACTTTTTGAGGGGGCTGGAATAACATTAACTTTTGAACCTGGGTGAATTTTTCAATAATTAAATTGAATTGTATTTATTGTAACTAAACAATGTATAAAATTTAGATAATTTAAAATAAGAAACAACTGTTTTAACACATATTTTTTTTTATGTCTTTACAGATGAGTGAGCATTGAAATGAGAAACTACATGATTATACAGAAGCTTTAGAGGATATATTTTACATATCTTTCAACTTTACAATTAACTTAATTTAAAACTTCATACAAAACTGGAGGGATTTGCATATATATTAATTAAAAACATACAATAAAAAAATGGTTGAGTCATCTGGTCTTAATAGACCTCCATCATCGTTGCCACAATCAATATCGCCACATTCAACGGCTAGTAGTAGTGGCAGTAGCTTACGTTTTGGTAGTTTAGAGACTCGTGTACGTGGTTCGTGGTATAAAGTTCTTGTTACATTAGAAACCGATTATTTATCAATTAGTTTAGATGAAAGTTGTGATACACCAGCTGAACAGCATCATTCGACGACGCTTAATGGAACTTTAGGGTAAGTGAGATATTATATTAATGCATGTCTAAATTTGTAGTGTAAAACATATATATTGTTCTATTTCATTATTAATCCTTGTATTGGGAGGTAGATATTTATTTATCCTTATTTTAAATCCCAGCAAAAATGTAAAATTTGTTTTAATTTTTTCAAATTTCAACATTTATGAACATACATATTCACACATGTATCATTTAGTAAGGAAGGTTTAATAACTTTATATTATTTAATGGAAAGAGGTTAATATAGATACGTACTCACCTATCTACTTAAATGCATATTTCATAATTACAAATTGCAAAATTATTAGAAAATTTATTCAATGTTATTTGCACCATTTAATAAAATGATATGACCTAGTATAACAGTCCTATCAGACCATTTGAATCGCATTATCCTATAAGCATTTAAAAATAAAATCATGTACAATATTATTCTTTTATTATACTTTTGCATATTATCTTTTAAAATTTTGATGAAACAAAAATTAATGTGTATTACAAATTTTTATTTATGATATTTTAGTAGTAATCATAGCGGACAAAATGGTACATTACCACCGGGTAGCACAATGTCAAGTGGCGGTAATACAAGTACGACTGGTAATAGTGGTCCTGGGGGTGGTGGTAGTGCTATCGGTGGTGGAGGAGGTTCTGGTACTAATACATTATCAACTGATGATACAATTGATAATAATGGTGAACATTTACTTAATAATAACACTATGGATAATGGTATGACAGAAATATGTGATGTACCTGATCATGTGGCAAATCAAAAACGACATGTGAGTATATCAATGAAAAATAATAAAAAGAAACAAAAAAATAACAAAATTTATAATATTTATAAATAATTGACAATTTTATTAAAATTTTTAATTATAAATTTCAAAAAATATTTAATTATTTGATTATGCGTTTTGCATAATATGCAATTTAAATGGAAATGCAATGTTATTTTTTTTATATTATATGTTAATTTGATGATTTTAATATTTGATTTATGTATGTAATTCAGAAAAAAAATTTGCGATATTTTAAAGCTTTATAACGAGTAGAAAAACATTTCAGTTGACAGAAAAAATTTAATGTGAACACAAAATGAGCTTCTTTTAAAATTTAAGTTGGAAATTTGTTCTATCCTAACCAGCTTGTAAATTTGGTTAGTCTGAAATATTATTATAAAAACAAGCATACATAATAATGAAAATTACTAATATTTTGCAGTTGAAATATGTTACGCGTTTTAATAACTAGTTTTATTAGATTCAATTGTCAATTTAAAGTTTTATTGAAACTTTAATTTTAATTTGAATTGTGTTCAAATTAAATTTGTTTTAAAAGTTTTCCATATAAACTCATTTAAAATATTAATAACATGCACAGATTAAATTAATTGCTGTTGTAATTAAAATATATTAGAATAAAAAAATTCAATTTACATCATCCTTTCCATTGTGCATCTTTATAATGCTGTTCCTATATGAGCAAGTAGATGTATGAACAACATTTTCTTATAAGTAATTGTTCATATCGGGAAAATGTAAATTGAATTTGTACTAAAATTTACAAACTGATAAATATTTTCGGTTTTCGTTTATAAAATCCAAACTTTGTAATCTGATGCTGTTATAGTACAATTTTTCAAAAGTCAAAGATATAAACTTACTCTATATATTTTTAAAGCAGCGTGTATATATTATGGAAAATATATTTTAATAATATATGTAGGTAGACAAAACTTAAACATAGGCTTTGTCTACTAAACTATTATGCTGAAAATGAATTCTAAAAATATTAATTCAAAAAGTAAATGATCGGCAGAATCGATTATAAATTTTCTCTATATTTTTTTTTAGTATATTATAAAATACAAAATTCAAATATCCTTAATTATTATAGTCTTTTGATGGTAATTTTGTACTGAATTTGAATTTTATTTTATTATTGCTTTGTAGAATTTGCATTTTATAGAAATTGTTAGCTATATGCATTTTATTGTATAGAGAACTTGAAACGGAAAATGGAAATCACATTGCTATTCAATAAATTTTCAGAGTTTTCACTGAAAAAAAAGATTTATTTTATTGATTTCAATTTCTTTTTATCCTGATCCATGGTAATAGAAATTGATTTTATTTTATTTGAAAGTTTTTCTGCCTGACTTCCTGTGGCAATTGAATCTAACAAAAAAAAAAAAGTCAAAATGAAAATTTTATTTATTTAATTATCTTGAAGTTTTTTTTCCGTTTGACCTTTTTTTTTTTCAAAACTTATTAATTTTTCTATATTACTGAAGAGAGAAAAAAAAAATAAATAAAAAAGGCATAAAACTGTAAAATTTTCTTTTATTGATGAAATAAAAAGTTTTTTTTTTTTTTTGTTAAATTAATAGAAATGATATTTGCGTAGAGCTTGTTAATTTAAAGAAATTAATTTAGTTTTTTAATTAAATTAAATTAAGAAAATTTTCTTATTACCTCAGCTTAAATGATTTGGGGTTAAAAACCTAAAAATAAAGTTGGTCACACTTATAATATATAAAGAAATCTGTTCGTTGATGCACCTACTGCATTGTATATATTCTGAATAATATTTAAAAAGTTCTAATAAATTTGCTTTTAAGGTATCTGGAATACGATTTGGTAGCTGAAAACTAATACGACAAATTGATAAATTCAAATTAAATTGAAATTAATTAAATTGAAATTGAGGTAGAAAAACGTAAAAAGGTTTATTAACATTTCCCTTAAAAAGCTACTTGAATTGAGGTAATCACAGCACCATCATTATTCGAAAGGTGTAGACGACGAATTCAATAGTGTAGATGATTTGAAATTTACAATTCGAAAGGTATAGATGATGATAATTCCTCATATTGAATAACATTATTGCTAGGTTATAAATTTTTAAAAGCATTTGATGTAAGTTGAGGCCTAGCTATTTTATTTAATTGTGCAATTATTGAATGATTCCGAAATCCTTAAAAGATAATTGCTTTTCAAATTACATACTAATTTTATTATAAATTACATATATAAAATATAAATAAATTTTAAAAATATCACATATAAGTCTATGTATACTTTATTTATAATATTTTAAGTATAATTTTAATGTAATATTTTAAATAGTATAAAATAATTAGTTTCATAATCCAAAAAATTATAAAACTAAATCAACAAATCAATCTTAAATTGTTATTATATGAAAAACATAATACATTTATTATAATGTTATTAAAATCCTTATATTATGTTATTTTTTAATTAAATTTTCCAATCATTTAAATCTTTATTACCAATTTTCACAAAAATTTTCATTCAATTTCAAATATTTTAACAATGTTTTAATGAAAATATGTACACACTTTACTTGAATATTTTATAACAATGTATATTATGTTTTCAGTATACAAAATATAACTCTATAATGTTATACGTATATTGTATAAAGTTTTACATTAAATATTTCTTTAATAGAAAAAAAAAAGCTAATGTGAATTAAATTAAATTGTAGAAAACTATAAACACATACGGGTTCCTACCATCGGAAAATTATTCATTCAACTTTTTTCTCTAACTATTTTCGAAAACAAGCATTTTATTATTATGCTTATTCATACGTATGTACAGTAACATTGTACGAAGAATGATTCTTCAATTTGAAAAAATGAAAATTCTATATCACCAATACAATTAACTAAATAAAAAAGTATATGTGAATAAAAATAGCAGTATTATATAAGCGCATATTGTTAATTTTGGCTTGCCAGACCTTATAGAGGAATAAATTTTAATTTATTTTTTTGATTATTTATAACATATTTTTATAAATGTTTTGCTAATCGATTTTTTTTTAGGTTATCAGTTTTCCAAATACGTTGATTTCTTGAAGCCTCATAAGCCGTTCTTTTAATAGTGGTTGATATTTTATGAAACAAAAATATGAAAGCTGTTTGATTGAATTCCTGAATATAATGAATGTTTTTTTTAATCAGATGAAAGAATATTTTGAAGGGACTACATATTTTCCATAACTAAATGCCAGAGTACATAAAACATAATTTCCTATTATATTAAAAGAAATTTGAGTGATTACTAATAATTTTTTCGATGCTGTTGAAAAAATAAGAAAACTCTTCAAATAATATGCACTACGGGTAACTTTAATAGTAGAAGACTGTAATTATAAAACATGAAATGAGTCTTGTATAAATAATTCAGGAATATTGTTTAGTTTCTGCCAATTGGCCCAAGTGGAATCTATACGACTTCCCTAAAAAATTTTTAATCACGTAAATTCTATTATAAAGTTTTTAGGATTCAATTTGAAGCTCAACTTTGTTATGCTGAACTTCTAAGCTATATTATTAGAAAAAGCCGACTTAAATTTTTGATCGTTGTTTCCCTATGCTAGAATATTATGAGATGAATATTGTATTATTTTTATAAAAATTATGTTAAAGAATGGTTTGTAAGCAAGTTTTTATTTTGCTGTTCGTACCATCTTATATTAAAATGTAGAACACCTTCAGATTTCATCCTTTATCTTTTAGAATATAGTATAATAAATTGGTAACCTTTATAAAATGTTATCTGAACCTGCATAATTTCTTTTCCTTACAATAGTATACAATTGCACTAATTGCTCCCGTGAGTGTTTAAATAACAAGGTTGAAAACAAATATTATTTTCTAATAGTTTCTTTTGTTTTACTTTTCATTAAAAAGAAAAACTAAAATACATACATATATACATATTATATTAAATTTTACAGATTATAATGGTGCTATACAAAAACGTTCTCATATTATTATTTGTACAATGTAGATACTCAAAATACTTTTCACAGGTATATAAAAGATATGCTTGTTAAATTAACCTTGAACTGAGAAAAAAAAACAAATATGAAAAAAAAGTGTTAAAATAAAGATTCAATATAATAGAATTGTGAGGAACTTTAATCGATCTTTCGTTAAAAATATAGGTAGAATGTTGACGGGTACTGTAATGTTATTTTTATAAAGAAAAATCAATGAATTTATGGAGGTTTTTGTTTTCATAAAATAGAATGTTTCGCATATGTTATGTGTAAATGATGATTCTTGTGTTATAAATAAATACTACATAGTAATTGAGGTTTAATGACAAATGTTTGTAAATTATTTTTAAATATCTCTGGGAATATTAACTTTGTGAAATATACCATATTTAGAAATAATTTTGTTTCGGCGCCAATAAATTGTATTTAGTATTTATAATTGAAAATCTCTTGTTTAATTTAAATATTTTAAATCACTTTTACTATTTTTTTAAAGTAAGAACCGAAAGATCTAAAATAATGTAAATTTATTGTCGGGAGCAAATTATTTTTGATAAATATTCAAATTAATTTATAGCACTTAGTAATTCTATTAGTAGTTACAATTGCAGTAATTCCCTACAGTTATGGTAATGCGTTCGATTAATTCTAAATTTCATAGATTTCTCTCTTTATAAAAAAGTTTATTAAAAACTAATTTTGTAATTGAAAGTATGTTATGCATTTTGCAGGAAATTTCAAATTAACTTGAGCGTCCTATGATAAAATTAAATTGATGGTAGAATAGTTTTAAAATTGATTTTCTTTAAATATTGTTAATATTCAAAATTAAGTCTCTTCTTTTAGAGTCTATATTACGTAATATGATCTTTTTTGGGTATTTTACCTTGAATTTTTTGGTTAAATCACCTGTAATTTTATATATGAATTTCGGTTTCCAATAAAAATGTGTGTAGGAAAAGTATAAAAAAAATAAAAAAAAAAAAACAACATAAAAACAGAAATACGAACAATTCGGAATGTTAGGTATAATTTTTGTGGTTTTAAAAATTATCCTTTTTTTTGTTTCATCTCGTATTTTTTTACCCAATATAGAAGCAATTGAATTTTATTAGTAAAAGGAACTGTTGAATTTATATTAGATTTTCTGTTTTATTAACTTGTTGTTGTTACTAAGAAGATATTTAAGCTATAAAAGGTGAATTTGAATTTTATATAAAAATTCTATTAGGGTTAATATTCGTAGAATACAATATAAAAAAAATGTAATCAAAAGATCAGGCAAAAGTTGAAAATCGAAAGTTGTTTTTTTTTTTTATTTTTTATAAACTCAGTTAATTTTTCTAAGGGTCAATTAATTTAATTGTTTTTATTTTCAATCAGACTATAAGGACATACAATTTCGTTAAACTGCATTTAAATTTTTCTATTTAAAATTAACCTACATTGCAATTCAACAGATTACGGAATCTATAGGTTTTACAAAGGTAATATTATAAAACTGTTAGGAATTCAGATTTAAATTTTATTATTTTTTAAATTTATAACCCTTGTTGGTGGGTGGCTACGTAGTTTAGGATGGTACTGTAAGTCTTTACGTCTTATTCTTCTATTCAATTTTTAAATAATTTATGAAACTCCAGTTATAATCTAATTCATTTTCTAATATTTTTAATTGGTATTTGCTAATATTTCGAATTGAATATGTAAACTAATTAATAAATAAAACAGTACAAATTTTTGTAGCCCCATTTGCACTACAGTTCAAGTAATAACAATCTTGGTGTATCAACTTCGTTGCAAATATTTGAAGATTCTTTCTTTGGTTTAAATATTATTTAAAAAACTGCATGAGAATTTTAGGGGTGGTGTATAAAACGGATCTTCAGAATTTAAATTCATTTTTTTCTCCGAAGTTTAGCTACAAAATTTTTTATTTTAGAATTTCTTGCACTATACAATTATAAAGTAAATGTATTTACAAATTAAAACAATTAGCTTAGTGACTGTAAAACACAAAACCAAATGAATTTTTGCTAATTTCAAAAAAAACAAAAAAAGGAAAATCTTTTTATTTTACTTATACAGGCACTGCATAGTAGACATTTTGAGAAATTGTATACATTTTTATATGTGAAAGCATGCATTAAACCATTTTCATTTATTTTCTTTATTTTCTGCGATATTGCAATTTTCCAAAAGGTTTATTGTTATAATGTATTAGAACGGTTGTAGCACGTATAGAGGAAACGAAAAATAAAAGCGAAACTGAAAATTTTTATTTTTTCAAGAAATTTTTCCGTTTGTAAGCTTATATTTTCTTTATTTTTTGGTATAGTTTTCCTCGTTTTTCCTTGCTTTTACATTTTATTATTATGCAAGTTCAGCTAATTTTATTTTTCCTTATCAATCTTAAGTGTAACAACATTCCAAATAGAAATAGGAAAAATAAATTAGCAATTTTTTTCATTTTTGTTATTTCTTGCTTTTTTTCTTCTTTCTATGCATTTATGCAATAATATTTAGGTATACATATGAAATATTTATTTGTGTCTATGATTTTTTTTTTCTATTTTGCAACAAATACTGCAATTTATATTTTTTCATATCTACATCATTATTAAATTATCATTTATTATATAATTTTCTGTTTCTCAGAATTTTGTTATATATAGAACTGTTATATTAATTTTTGTGTATGTATGACAGTCATAGTAAATGTTGTTATTTTAAATAGTTTATAATTTTTTACTGCCATATTATTTTGGGCAATCTTATTTTAGTATATGTATGTAGGTTATTGATATTATTAATATAAGAATATTAAAATTCTATTGGATAAGGGGATTTTTGAATAGATTAATGCGTATTATTGAATTATAAGTTCGTATTATGATTGGCAGTCGGCTTTTATAACGTGCAAACAGCTGTTCCTGATTCCCCGAAACTAATTTTGTTTCAGTTTAAGTTACAGATTTTCGGACCTAATATAAGTAAAAATATATTCAGAATTTCAGAATCGCTATAATAGGGTAAATTGAAGGCTTTGAAAAGGTTCACTAGTGTGAATCAGTGAAAATATTCTCGTCAATGCTTTTTATTTGAAAATTAATTCTGTTTGGTAATACAATGCTTGAACTAATTTGTAGTTAGTCTGACATTTTAATTTACAGTTTTGGTTTAACCAATTTTTTTATTAGTTTCTTTAAAATTTGATGAGGCGCTCTTACTGTTTATACTCTAATAGTTTTAATTCATTCTATTGCTACCTATATGTTATTTAAAGTGGCGTATATATGTTAAGGCGTATAACTTACTTATACGCCTCTTATTTTGTTGCAAACTTTTAATTTGAAAGCAGAGGAAAAGTTTTAATAATAAAATACTTAGAATCCATGTAAAAATCATACAGCAAACCGGTTTTTTTCTTCTTTTTTCTTTTTTTTTGTAAATCACCCGAAAGTTTGGAAAGAATAATTTAATTTATTGTTTCCGTGAGTTTTTTTGTTTTCTCCTGTTACTTTTTCTTTCTTTTTAATTTGCATTGCATGTTTAGTAAAATTTTATTCAGGTGTGAAAACTTAATTTTAAGTTTTTTTAACTGATTTGACAGGTGTCTGTCTTACTTGTCTCCACGTGATTTCCAGTATTATAATATTTTTATTAGGTGATGTAACGGTAATAAAATAATCCCTTTTATGTGGCGTTTGTTTTTTATTTAATTTTGTATTTTTTTTTTGTATTTTTCCGCTGTTTTTTATACCATAATTTTTTCATGTCCCAGTTGATAACAAATAATGTTAAATATTCCTGTTTTTTTTTTTCATATTTTAGTACTTGCATATTATTTTACGAAAAATTTATTATAAAGTTGATGAAAAAATTTAACAATTTATTTAAATTTTTCCTATATACCTTTTCATACACATCCGTACATATACTTAAATTTTTGTATTCTAAAGAATTTTGATGGTTAAGCTTTGTATATTATATAGCGTGTGTTCGTATAATCATGTACTGTCAATCGAAACAAATACCAGTATCTTTTCATAAATAAATTTTTTTTTTAAAACAGAAATTCTTAGCATATTTTATGGGGTAAAAATTTCAAAAAAAAAAAATTCAGGAAAATTTTTATTTGACTGCTTGTAATTTTAATGTTTTTTTGTTCCAAAAAATGAATTTTGACATTAAATGCGTTCTATGTTACATGCAATTTTTTATTAAATAACAAACTCACAACTTGATATATGTAGTTTCCAAATAAATTGTCAGAAATTTGTGCTATTACTAATTATGTTCTCATCAGAATTTTTAACAAGACGGCTACATTTTCAAAATAAAAAATTATTTAAATTATTTTTTGTGTTTATATTGTAAAATAATAAAAAATGAACTGTTTTAATAAAAAATATTGTCGTATCAATATGTACTATTTTCTATTTATAAACGGTAGCTATTCAATATTTTTTTAATATATTAAACACAATTCCATTTTATGATAACATCCCGAAAAAACTACAGTTTCCACCTAATTTTTCCATCTATGTAAAAATATTGAGCTTCGCAACATATAAGCCATACCTAATTAAAAAATTTATACTTAAGCTGAATTTTAAATTGATTTTATTGAAACGCAGCAATTACAATCTTATGAAATTCAATATTATTTCAATATTATTTTGCTTTGAAATTTTAAATATAAAAAATACATTTTATTTTTCTTTATTTTAGGTTCGTATTATAAAGTCTGATAATAACGGCCTTGGTATATCAATCAAAGGTGGACGAGAAAATCGTATGCCTATTTTGATATCAAAAATATTTCGTGGTATGGCAGCTGATCAAGCTAAAGGTTTATATGTTGGTGATGCAATATTATCTGTTAATGGTGAAGAATTAAGGGATGCAACACATGATGAAGCAGTTAGAGCATTAAAACGTGCTGGAAGAGTTGTGGATTTAGAAGGTAAGTGAATTTATTATATATCTATTTTAATTTAGTAAAAAAATATCCAAAGTTTGAATATAATGGAATTAAATTAGAAATTTTTGAATTATCCCAATTCCTTATAAATAATTTTTAAATATCTAGAAGGAATTTTATATAAATTTTATTTATTTATTAAAATTATTTATCGCATAATATAAATTAATATTTTATATAAAAATGAATTAAATTAAAATTTGAAATTTAATTAATAGCAATGAAAAATCTAAGAAATTCTTATAATTTTCGAATAAACTATGGACAATTTTATATGCAATTGATGTTAAGCATCTCAGGATGCAATTTTACATTTCATTTCTTGAAATTGTTATTGTCACATATTATTCGAAATTACTAAATTATTAAATATAATTCGAAATTATTTTTAAGCTGACAGATTTGTGCTTTTAAAACCTTTAAATTTTTAAACCCTAACTCTTTAAAATTATTGACTTTAAAGCTAATGATATTTAATGCTCATAAATTCACATTAACTGTCTAAAATTATTGAATTTAAAATTAAGAAATTTAAAGTTTAAGAGAATTTATCCTTTCTAAGAAAAACCCCATTTTAATATGCACTTAAACTTTTTCTCTCTGATGTCGGTTTTAATTTTAAAATTTCTTTAATTTCTTAATTATGTCAAAAGACATGAATAACTCTTCTATTCTTGTATATAACAATCTTTTAAAATGCCAAATTTCCACTTCATATATACCCTCTCCTCTATACTTCAGAAAAGAAAGAGAACAAGACTCCCTGCAAAAGAAAAAATAAACGAAAAATGAAAGAAAAAAACTTCTTATATTTAATGATTGCATACTTTTATCTCTTTCTTTTTGTGTGAACGTCATCATAAATTTTAGTAACCTCAGCAGGATTATATTATATGCGGCTTTTCATAATGAAATTTTTTGACTCCCAACGCACAAATAAGGGGATTTTTTATTTGTTTTTTTTTGTTTTTGTATTTTTTAACTTTTCAAACGTCAAAATTTATTAATATCCTTAAAGAAGGAGTCTTATTATAATATTTTTTTTTTTTTATTATTTTATTGTTACTTTCATTTGTTTTTATTCTCATTTTATATTTTATTTGTTGACTTTTTATATTATGCCTTAAAGGACTATTTTTTTTGTTGTTTTCTTGTTTGTTTGTTTTCTTTCTTTGTTGTTGTTGTTTCTTTTCGTATTTTGCGTGTAATATGGTTTTGTAAAATATGGAACACTTTAGAATAACAGAAATAATAAAGAAAAAAAAAAAAAAAAAACATAAACCAAAGAAAAATAAATTTTGTTTGAAAAGTTAATTTTATAAAAGACAAAAAAAAAACAAGAAAAAAATGAAAATGAAAATTTTGAAAAACTTGATGAAGTTTATTACTTAACTTTACTCAGTTACTCAGAATATGACTTCTAATTAAGTTGTAGTTTATATGCACTTCATGCATATTCTCAAAAAAATAAGAAAAAAACAGAAATTAAAAAAAAAATATTTCAACAATCAGAAAAGATTTTGTACATTGTAAATGTAGAATGAGAGGGAGTCAAAGAGAAATCAGAGCAAATATAAAAACACGATTTACGAAATGTGTGGTAGGTAGGTACTTTTACTTATAGTAAGAGATAAGTAGTTTATCACAGGCCACAGCAGGAAAATTTTAAAATCTGGTATTCATGTTTATTAAAATAAAAGGCTTGGTGTGGGAGGTGGAGGGGGAGGAGGGAAGGGATTTAATTTTAAAAGCTCAAGATAAGAGAAAAAACTTTATTTTTTTTATTTTAACAAATATTTAACAAGAAAATTAAAAAATTAAAATTTATTTTTGATGATGATAAAAATAAAACGAATAAGTAATTTAGGGATTAAAATACAATTTTTTTTTTTTTGCATAGTCAAATTTAAAATAATTACATGGAATTTATGTATAGATTTAACAGTAAAAATTGTTAAATATGGCGACATATATGACGGATTGTTGAATTATAATTTGTAATCCCAATTTGAAAAATCATTTAAAATTTTTGAAAATTTTGATTTTAATTTACTACTAGTGTAGCTAGTAGTTAGTAATTTACTACTTAGTAGACTACTAGCTATATAAAAGAATATAGTTTTGTATTAATAATGAAAGATGTTGTTTAGGCATGTAAAAATAGTAATTAATAGTGTAATTCGGAAATCCAAAGTTGTTTTAATTCAAAATAATATTCGTTTTTAGTGTACTCACAGAAAAATCCTTAATGTACCAAATTTTTCGTGTTTTTTGCGATAATTTCGGAAAGATTTCTCATTTAATTAAAAATTCAACTTGAGACAGGGAAAAATTAATTTGATAGGAATATTAGGTTTGAATATTAGATGAAAAATGCAATTTTTCTACAATTAATGTGTAGTCTACTAAATATTTTGTACACTGTTATTCCGTGTGTATAGAATGGAGTTGCACTTTTTTGCAGCTTATATATGTAAGCACTTTCTTCTATATTATTATCAAAATTTGTTAGGTCTTGTTATTATATCAAAATTTTGTAGAATTCAGTTTCGATACACCAATCATTAAACGAACGTATAATTCGCTTGATTATAGCGTTTTAAACGTAATACGCTGATTCTTAATTGTCTTTCATAGATTTTTATTTCATGAAGTTGTAATTATTTCTGTTATTTAGTTACCTTAATCTCTCAGAAACTAGTTCCAACTCATAGCCAAAATAGCACATCCTATTTTATATTTTTTTGGCTTTCGAATTTAGTAATATTTAAATTGTATAAAACCATAATTTATAAATTGCTGTATAGGTACATATTTCCACTATATGTGTACATTGTTTTAGTTTTAAAATATTTTAAGAAAACTAAAAGTCAGATAACTTTCTAAGTTGATGTTTTTTTTTTTTTGATAAATTACATTAAATTTTGTTATTAACTTTTGCTTTCTTAAGCAAAATATGTGTTTTATATAGGTGCAGTGTATCGTTATTGAAATATTCGTGCATACTAGTTCTACATGCATAATATATGATGTAGTGAAATCAAAAAATAAAATATCAGAATTTTCTTTTTTACTTTCTCTGATTTGAAGAGCAAAATTTAAAGAAAAAAACATTGAATTTTAAGAAGTTTTCAACTTAAGAATAATAAACTTTGTTTTATATTACATAAAATAATAAACCGTCATCTTCATTAATAAAATAAAATGTATGTTTATTTTGGAGAGAATGAAATTGAAATTTAACTATATATAATATGTAGGTATATGTATATGCTTAGATTTGAGTATGTTCAGTTCTTCTAACTAAACAATAGCAATAAAAGTAATGAGAAAATTAAACGAAAGTTTATTTTTTGTTCTATATGCACCGTTTCGTTTTAGAATTTACACATAGTTTAGGAATTAAAGTAAGATTTAAGGAGGTGAATGTTTTAGATCATACAAGGCTCAATGGCATATGCCTTGAGTCCTGACAAGTATTTTGTCTTTTGGATTTTTTTTTAAAATAAATGAAAATTTATGTTGTATGGGAACTCTTAATTGCATGAAACGAATTTGTTGTTAATTTAGAAAAAAAACTTTGATAACTTAATTGATTTTCAAAATTTTTGAATTTAAATTTTATTAGACCATGTATAATTAAAATTGAATAATTATTATTAAAATAATATAGACTCTTATTGTGAATCTCACTCGTAGAATTCTACGAATTTCAAATTAAATTACGCACGTAAACTTTTGAGTAATTATAAATTTCACTCGTAGAGATTATGAATTTGCAATGGCAACATTATTTTTCCGACTGTCATAATCGAAATTTCATAACAACTGTCAAGTTTGTGTAAACACAAACTTAAAAAATTAACCGATCACTTTGGAATACTGGCTTTTCACGTTTGAATTTTAATATTTATTTTCAATGCGAGTGCAATTAATAATATTATTACTCTATTACGAATTTCGGAGTACAATTCTAATAATTCGGAATTAACAATATGAAATTCGTGAATTCCCCGGATTTCAGTGCTACGAGTGAGATTTACAATAAGAGTGTTTATTTAAAATATAATTTTGTAAAATAAACTCAAATACTTACTTGCATGTAAAATAAAGCAACAATATATACTATTTTAAAATGTTACAAACATTTAACCATGACTAATATAAAATTATTCCCGAATATGAATACAATTGCATATTACTGTAAAGACAATTTAACAAGTTTAATGAGATAATGTGGTTGTACACATATTCATAGTACACATTTTCTGACAGATTTTCTATATAGGAGTATGTTATTTTAATCTTATATATAAAATTTATAAACCCAATATGTGTATATGACAATATTTTGAGTGCAACTAAATTCAGGACTATATAAAATTTTCATTCTATATCCTTTTGGGTTATTAAGTAAAAGTTTTTAATTTTTCTTTTCTCATGCTATTATTTTTTTTTTGTTTCTTTTTATTTTACATATATGTACTAGAAAGTATAAGGAAAAGTTTACAGATTTAATGAACCAAAAAGGCACACAGATAACAGATGAGCTCATGTATAATGAGCCGATGAAAAGTTTTTTAAGCCATTGTAAAAATTAGAGAACAAAAAAGTATAATACGTTTTTTTTCTTCTTTTTCTTCATATACACATTTTATATTATTTGTATGTATATAATCTATATGTATATAGACTTTACTTATGTAGCAATACACATAATAATGTTTGAATTTTTAATTAATTCAATTTGCAATTGTTAATGCTGAATTTTAATTAAAAATACATATAAAGTATGTATATATGAAGCGCGCATATATTTACATGAATATGAACAATAGCTTGTACATACACTTATGCATATAGGAATTTCGTTATGGATTTGAAATTTTGAGATTCTTTGAAAAGCTCATATATACAATTATAACAAGCATCATATTTGAACATATATTTTGCCTAAGACGATGTCGATATAATTGCTCTAA